ATGGGCAAAAAAATCGGATTTGGGTCACTTCAGGCTGCAGTGTGAACGTAGCCTAAATGGCGTCTGGTGTCTTGGGCTCTTAGCTCACATTGCTTGTGATACATCTCGACGGTTCTATATGGATTATAAGTGTTCCTTTACACAACAGTTCAAAGTCGGAGACCTGTTTATTAAGTAAATGCTATATCCACCTTAGAAATTGAATGTGAATTTTCAGAATAAAGGGTTCCATCTGTAAAAGATTTGCATTTTCTAAAAACGTGCAAAGCTGAACTTCATACTACATGCGAATCAAATTGTGTGGGTAAAATTCAAAGAACAGCAACCTTAAATGTGTGCACCATGTAGACACCAGAGAACAGTGAAGTATAGGCATTTACTGAAATGCACCGAATGCACCTTAATTAAAGGGTTTTAAATAATTGAAAAAATAGCTAACAAGAAGGCAAAACTAACCTAAAGCAAATCAGAGAAAAACCTCTTTTCAAGAGTAGAAAATTAAACAGAGCAACATTTTTGACCTTTCTTAGATCCTCATCTTTTGTTCTTATTAGAATTATTATTTGTAATAAGAACAAAAGATGGGGATCTTTGAGGATGGTTATTAGAAGTAAAGATCCAGCCATTAATAGTGTATACATAAAACAGTATATCTGCTTTTTATTGCAGTAAAATTTTATTTCTTGTTCAACTAGTCTAGTTTACATGATATTACATGTAACACATATTACAGATAATACACGTCAGCAAACAATCCCAGAAAAGATCACACTCTTCACAACAGATATGTTGCTGCAAAACCTGAAGGACCTAAGCAACCTTGAGCAATACAGTCTGCTGTGTAAAATATATGAATTCAGTAGGAATGACTAACAATATGCAATTATATATAAATCACCTAAAAAAGGTATTGCTAGTGTTGAGATTGTTGTAGCAACACAAAATATAAAAAACTTATTGGGAGCGTTGTGTAGGTGTTCCTGTTGGTTAGAATGCTGTTCAGCCTCTAAATTATAACTACTGCTACTTGTGGTACTTTCTGACAGCTGCTCAGATCAGTAATCATGTCAAGTAGAAACTGTTTTTAGCGTGCAGTAGCTGAGCGCTGAGAAAAAGCCACAGACACCTGGAATCTGATTCAAGACTCTGACAAGTTAAGCAGACTTCACAGATTTAAAGCAGGTGTGAAATAAAAAGGAAAGAGGGATTTTAAACATCTGTTCATTATCATGGGATCACAGTGTCTTGGAAACTAATTATAATTTGAAATGCCAACTGTGAAAAGTAATATTGAAGTATGATTTTAACAGACCTCAATGAATACCAGTACTTCCTTACAGACTGAATGGACAGACAGAGACTGGGAAATGTTGGCTGGAGTCCACAGGAGGTGTTGCAGAGCTGGAAGCAGTCTGGTTGTGTATAGACGTTGGAATCCCTGCACATGATATATCTCAAGCTAGAAGCACAGTGTCTCCGATGCCTTTCTATTAACCTATTCTGTATCATCTCTCTTTCTTTCCTTCACGGGTTTGTCTGCTTTTTTTTTTTTTTTTTTAGGGTTTTTCAAAATTTTCCTACTGAGTTCTCTTCTTCACCATGATTCAAAATTGAGCCTCTTGCAGGTTTATTTCTTCCTCAGAAAATGTATTAAAACTGAAATTCGAGATTTTGTGTGATTTTAGTTCCATAATGCCATTTTAAAAAGTTGGAGTCTTTGTCTTCTGTATAATTTGTAGTTGGTGGTTTTATTGTTCATATGTCTAAAGCACTGTTCTTAGTAAACAGCTTCATCCAGGAGAGAAACACGGCTAATCATGTAGTCTCTAAGCAAATTATGAGAGTTTTGTAGACTTATTGATATTTGGAAACAGCAGTAGTCCAGACTTTAAGTAACAAAATGTATGGCCTTTTCTGTTTTTTTTTTTTACTTTTAAATATTGAAATTAAATGATCCATCTTGGATAAAACTAATGGTCTCTACTTTGTTAACTGAGTTTTGTTTTTCTTTTGCAACCAAGAATAAGCAACTTTACACTTTCAATGTAATCCTGTTTCTCTGACTGTGACTGGCTGGATGTGCTCTCTTCATCCTCTGACATGGGAGCTGGCTCAGAGCTCGTCTGCCTGGCTGTGTGTTTCCTGCACGGGGCCGCCTTTTACAGCTGCCTTTTGTATCTCTGCTGCTGTCTCCTTGAACCCCAGTCGGCCTCGACAGATGGCCGCTCACACTGAGCCTGGTTCTGCTGGAGGTTTCTTCCTGTTTACAGGGAGTTTTTCCTCTCCACTGTCGCTACAAGCATGCTTAGTGTGAGGGATTGCCTTCGAGTCAATGACTTGATGCAATCAACTGGTTTTCCTTAGATGGCAACCTTTAAATCAATTTGACTGTATGATCTGGTTTAATTGTAAAGTGCCTTGAGATGACGTGTTGTTGATTGGCGCTATATAAAGGCGCTATATAAATAAACTGAACTGAACTTGTTATACCTGAATTTGAGATTAGAAAATAATCAGTTTTATGTCTTCAAGAGATGTCTGTAGATTATTTAAATGATTTCATGAGGCTTCATGCAATGAATAATTCTCGCACCCCAGGCCTTAAAAGGTTTACCTCTGTTGAGTGTTTTTTTTTTTTCCTTTTGAAGATAATTGCTCTCACTGTGTGCTGCCGTGGTCACAAAACATTCAAAGTTACTAGGTAACACTTTGCACAGTAAAGCCTCATCAGTTCTTGATTAGTTGCTTTTTAATTTTCTATGACGGCAAAAACTTTAAAAAACACAAAATAATGATTATTAATTAATGTATTACTGGGTGCAATCAGCAAGCATAAACATTGTTTTAGGTCATCTACCAGCATCTTATGTTACCTAATTGGAAATTTCAACATTGGCAAATATTGTACTTATTAGATAGAGAATAAAAGGTTTCTTCATTAAGCCTAAGGGTTCAAGAATAGCATTGTTATCACCAGCATCAGTATCAGTAAGGCCACCTTTTGACCTATTCAATTTGGCAGTAAATTCTGAATCCTTCTGCAGCTTTAGCTCCTGCCTGTTCATTCTTTATTCTGAGCATTCCTCATGTCTTATATCTTTTGGCATCTAAGATTTTTCTTGGACTTTTCCTCTTTTTTGCACCCCGCGGACAAGTGAAAACCTACAGTCATATAGTCACATTTATAGCAAAAACACACAAATCACTTTGTTTCTAAATACATATAGTAGAAAAAGATCTAAAACACCAAGAAAGGTGAGATATTTTAATCAAATGACTTTTTTTTAACAACTGAAGTCAGCTACTGGCATACATTTTTATATTAAAGATTTTCCAATGTAAGATCTTGTAGCAAGATTAATTTTATAAAAAAAAAAATCTTTATTCTTGTATATTCTATAGTTTTAATGAAACTTCCCAAATAATATGATTCAACAGCTTCGACAATCACATTTTTGTATATTTGTTTAAATCATATTAAATCATTTTAAAACTTCATTTGTCTTTATTAAGGTCATTTATCTAACAGTTCAGAAATATTTATGTAACAAAGAGTAAAAAGCTGTGATAGCAACAAATACTTTTTTGCAACAGTTGTACCATAGTTAGAAAATTACAGCTTAGTTTAAAATATGAACAAAAATGAGAAATATTTATTGTTTTAAGCACCGTAGCACTGTATCCTGGTTAAGATATTTCAGCGTTCAGATGTTTTCAGCAGATCATTTTTGGAACACAACATAATTGCTTTAATACAGAAAGTAATAACACTGTCGAAAGCTTGTTTAAAGTTTCATTTTCTCATTATGAGAAAGCCGTGGGGCTGCACAGGGTCTCTGGACAAACGGATAAATTACATTATTAACACTTTATGAATCACATTTCTTCTTCATAATACGGTTATTAACAATATTACCAAATACCCCATGTTAGTTGGTCCTGAATATCCTGGAACTGAAATATAGATGAGGATTAATGCATTTTATTAACTTTTCTTTGGTCATCATAATATATTACCATATAAAGAAACACAGGAAAAACACTAAATAAAATGTGTTTACTTGGGTTTTACACATTTTCATTTTGTTCTAAATGTTATTTTGTAAAATGGCTTACGTTTGAGGAAAGGAGAAAAAAAAAGCATTTTAATTTTAATCTGTTTTTAATTATGAATTAATGATTACTATATCTGACAAAGATTTCAAAAAAAACAAAACATTGACTTCAGTAGCACAAAAACTCTTATTCTTAGAGAATGGAAAAAATGTGAAATGCTGAAATAATGACCTTTTTTTCCAGTTAAATTGAAAAAGACATGTTTGATTTTTTTCAATAATCTTAGTACTTAGAGCATAATGCCTAAAAAGAAAAAAGCAAAGCAGACAGAACACCTTGTCTCCAGGGACACATTTTTCTTTCAGCTTCACAAACTGCAGCAGTAATTTGTGAGGCTGATTAGGCGACTCTTCACTTATCTTCTCTCATTTCACAGCCAGGGAAGAAGTGTGGGGTTCACCTGTTCCTTCTGCAGACGTTATTAAGATGCAGCTCAGCTGAAAGAAAGTTAATGCTGTTAGAAATGACTCCAAGTATTAGGCCTGCTCTTCTTTTTACAGCCTAAAGGAAATTTTTGAAAAGCTTAAAGTATAAAAAATACTCAGTGATATGCTTTTAGTTCTACAGCAAATTGTAGAAACTATTTTATTCTAAATAAGTTCACTTTTTTAATATAACGGGTTGCCTGTGAGGGCGAAACTGACATTAAACCTGCATACTTGATGAAAATTTTTATGAAAATCGATAACAAAGGGAATTCTCGAACATTAAGCTCAGTTTGGCAGGTTCCTACAAATCATTTAAGTTATCTTAGACTTAAAGAAAAGTAAACTGTAGGATTGTTGTAATTGATGCTCAGTTATGTTTTTTTTTCTCCTAATAAAGCAATTTAAAGTAACATCAACTGGAAAAGGGCTCATATCTGAGGAACTCGATCTAATTTTAGCCAGAGCTGGACTTTTGCTGGGGATCATGTTGTTACAGTAGCAGCCATTCAAAATGACCCTTCCCAGTCAAATGCCAGCCGAATGGTGGCCCACTTCCAGCCACTGGTCTTCTTTGGGGCGTGCATATTTTTTTCCCTCTGACTCCACCCTTTCACTGAATAACAGGGTCTGACCAGGAGAAGGCGCTTCTCTTTAGATGTTAATGTCCACATATCAGGACAGAAAGAAAGAATATTTTAGTACAAAGATTGATGTTTAAAAAAAAGTAATCTCATGGGACCAAGCAAGCGCCCATCCATGATGGGGAAATTTTGAATGGCTGCTACTGTAGGTTTGTTGCTCTTTTCTCAGTTGAACAACATCAGTGTTGCTGCACCTAAAGCAGAAGGTAACAAACTTACTAAAATAAATGTTTGGATTTTGCACTAGGCTCTTGCTTTTGCAGCAGCATCTTAGATGGTATATTTCAGAAGGTATAGTAAGTTAGAAAAGTTTACAATAATAGATAAAAAGCACTTTATATTTTTAGAGTTTTAAAATGGAGAGCTTCGTCCATTCGTTACATTTGTGTTACTTTTGTTTAGTTTTTTTGGTTCTTTTTTACCAGTACCAGTCATGTGTGTATCCGCCATGTAATGACTGTCTGCAGTCCAGAGCAGACATCCTACCCTGCATTCTGTTCTTACTGTTGACCCTGTGAAAAGTGAAAGGATGAAAGCTAGGAGCCACAATTTTGGATATTCTGATTGAACTCAGACCTCTGTAGACATGGATGACTGAATTCTGAGGAGGTAATTCAACCATCTGATTTGTATATGTGGGAGAATGAATCTACAAGCTGTAGGATAGCACCTCTCAAGGAACATACTTGACTACTTAATTTTAAAATCACACAGATGCTCCTTCAGCTCAGAAAAAGGCACCAAACATGGCGGTCCTTTATAGAATTGTTGACCTTCAACTGTATTTTAAGTATAGTGTTCAATCCAGCTAATAAAAGGAAACACTCAGCAATTTGTTCACATCTTACTGAAAGCCCTATGAGAAGGGATCAGTCTGACAGTTGCCCTTCCACTATTATTTGCTAACTGATATACTAAGCTTAATTTTATATAGAGATTTTTATGCCTGACTCACCCATTTTTGTTGCACACATGTTGTTGTGAGCCATATTCTGATGACAATGTTTAGCCATGGGCTTCATTGTTGTGGTGTTCTTGTTATCTGCTACAACAGGCCAGCAACGTTGTCGTGAGCGAGCGATCAGCTTTGCAATTTTTCTGGCCATGGCCGTCTTCTCTGGCACAGGTGGTGGGTTTTTTGAAGTTGGTGTGGTCACCCTTCCCTCCCCTTGATTTGGCTCGTCAAAGACATTATCTAATTCATCAGAAAGGCTTAGAGGCCGAAGATGCACAGCACGAAGCTGCTCAACAGTCACCACAGGCAGAGACTTCTCAAGTGATCTCAGGAAGGCTGAGGATTCAGAGTGGTGGCGGCGGAAGGGTTTGGGTTTGAGTGCTGGTTTGGTTTGAGATGAAGGTCCTGGGTCTGGAGAGCTGGGAGTAGGGACAGCAGGGAGAGGAATTTGTAGAGACAGTCTCTTGGCACGTACCAGGGAAGAGCTAGACCTAGATTTGGGTTGAACTTTCCATCCTAATGGATCTGGGCCAATAATGACAGATGTCGGAACAGAAGTTGGTGAAGGACAGGAGGAGGTGGAAGAGGAAGTAGAGGAGGAGGATGTTGACATATAGATCCCTATGGAGGGGCATGAGTACCTCTTGAAAGACGAATGTGATGAAGTCTGGAGTGGCAGCAGAGAAGCGCTCCGCTGAGGAGGGTCGGGTTCCTTCTTGTTTTTTCTCACCGTAATGACAGGGGGGGTCTGGCATTTGCAGAAGTCAACTGACCACCGTCTCTGAAGAGAATGCAAGACGGCGTTGGATGCAGAGACTGCAGAGTTGAGCTGCTCTCTGAAGACTTGGCTGCGTGTCGCTTGACATCTTGGTCCAGGTCTTGTTCCACCCTTCCTGTTCTGTGCTCTGATGCAGACTGATTTCACATTAGATACTTTTTCACTCATCCTGGCAGATTTTTAAGGAGCCGTGGTTAGTTTTGTATTACCAATCGTAGCAGTGATGTGTTTCTTCTTCCTTTGTGTGAATAACTCCCTAAGGAGAAAAAATAATAGGAAAGGGAGGGGTGTATTCAGGGTGTTTCAGATCTGAAAAGAGGAACAGCAAACGCCCATCTGGACATTTCAAATACAGTTTCAAAACCTCTATTTTTCTTCAGAACATTTCCTCAGCTGAAATGCACCTATTTTAATAGGAAAAGCAGTTGCAACATCATCTGTAATTAAAGGCTTTTTCTAAAAGTTATTTCCACCAAGCTAGATTTTTTCCCAGAGCTTACAGTTTAGAAGAAATTTTCAATGATTTTTTTTTGTTCTTTGACCCTTTTTGCTACAATAAATCCAATTTTTAAAATAAATATGAGTCAGTTCAACAATAGTTTAAAGGATTTAGATATTTGAAATCTCTAACATAATTTTTGTTTTAACCTTTTTTACCTTCCGTTTTTTTTGTGTGGGTTTTTCTGTTCAAGAAAGAAAATAATAATAGATTTGTAACAGAGAAACTATCAACATTCCTTTTTCAATTCTGGATGTTGATTTAAATTTGACATAAAAATAGAAAGTAATACATTTCCTTTAAAACTTACACCTAACTATGCAATAGAAAAAATGTCAAATGTAAGATGTTTTTTACCTGCAGCGCTGTGCTGATCTGAGTCTTGACCAATCTGTTTGAATGTTTCTACTGTTAATATCCTTCTTGATTTCTCTCTCTTCGTTTACCCTTATAGCGGTCCACCCATGTGTTACCACAACTTCCTGAAAATAACACCCTGAGAACCACAGATGTCTCAATTCACACAGTAGCATGCAATCTCATCCAAACAAGCACTAGTCATTAGGGTTGGCAATCAGCTGTGCTTATCGTACCATATGTTTTTTTATTGAGAATTAAATATTATGAATACTGCTGGTGGGTACAATTACAGATAAGTCAGTCAGTATTGTAGAAATTTCGTAGCAGTTTCTTGAATGCGTCAAATTCTATATTTAAAGTCATTACGCAGAGGCCTGTGTCTGCTTTATGTCTTAGTTTTGCTGCTTTATATTTTGAATAATTTAGTGGAGGTGTCAAAAGTACTGATGTTCTTTACCTAAGTAAAGGTACAATTGCCTGTTTGTAGTTTGGTAAAAGTACTCATTAAACTCCTTTACTTAAGCTAAAGCAAAATGAAGAATTATAATTTGAAACACAACCAACATGTAAATGTATAATCTAATATAGGAGATGACAGATGTCTTGAGTCTCAGAATGATCCATCATCTGCCATGTTTTCTATTCTCCTGTCTTCATCCATGTCACCATCAGTGTTTTCTATAAACAAAAATGTGCTCAAACTGAAAAGTTTCCCTCTGTGCTTCATTTCCCCTTGTTTTGCTGCCGGTGTTGCATCATGATTTTATTAGAGAAATAAGACAATTTTTATTTCCCCCCTCTGAAAGAGGCCTATTTTTTCTCCTCTTTTTTCTTTGTTTTTGCTCTGCCCAAATGAGATGAGGCATTATTTAACTTACCTATAGCTGCCCACAAAATTTTTGTCAGTTACATTAAAGTACATAGAGGATTGAATGACTACCATCTAACTGAATTCTTTTATAAAAGAATAATGTCAAAACTTGATTGCTCCGCTTGCCAAAGGATTGTTGGCTAGTGTCTTCTGTTGTTGCTCATTAGAGACCATTTCTACCCTTTAACCTTCCCTTTACCTCAGCAGCAGTATGAGCCATAATGGCATTGTTACAAACCACCACAATGTCAGACATTTGAACCACAAAGAGTCAAGGATTTGTAAAATCATAGTAAAATAATATAAATTTCAGACTGTTGGAGAATTCTGCAATCTCTCTCTAATTGGCTGGTGAAAACTTTTAATTGGTTTGACAGAAAGTTTTACCAACACATAAAAACAGGTCACTGAAAATCAGACTCTTAAGCCGGTTAGTCATGTACTACAGCGCTTTAGATTCCACCTTAACAGAATCTCTCTTTTTCTGGTCAGTCCTTAAATTATAACGGTGCAGACAAAGTAGTAGTGTCTAATAGTGTCAAACTGGAAGCTTTGCAGTTGATTTAAATCCAACCTTAAGACAAAGAGTATTGTATGTACGCCAAACTGAACATGTGTGCTCCCTATATCCTGCCACATACCACATGAAATGTAACAATTTGTGTTGACAGCTAGTCCTTTTAAGTTCAGCTCAAAAACAGTTTTCCTTCCCCCGCTTCTCACCTAATCCGCCTGCAGCCTGTCAGGATTTTCAGAGGCTGTGTGAGTAATTGGCAGGGTTGGGTGTGGGGGCTAAGCATATTGATCTTAGTGTAATAAAAAAATGTAAACCGGTCAGGATACTGTAAACCTGCACTAAGGTCAGGGATTAATGCTGATCTGAGAGCTCTTGTTTTGATGATTCACACAGAGAACAGTAGAACACAGGTTTGTGTGCTTTGACTGCACAGTAACTGTGTTTTAGAAAACGCTCTGACATTTTCTTCTGTTTCTTTCAATAGCAATGAAATATATTTGCCTCTGCTCCCTGCTAGGAAGAGTCAATATGTGCTTTATAAGTTTTCCTTTCATGTTAGTCTACTGTACCTCGTCCTGTTGGATTATGTCTGTTTTCAGTGTGTTTAAAGGTGGAGATGAAAATATGAGCTAAAAATAATTAAACACCCTGAAAAGTGGAACATTGTTCAAGTTCTGTGTTTAAAGCTGAGATAGGTTTGATCATTACCTAATCTGAGTTGCAGTTTATAGTTGAGATGGTAAGCAAACAATTTGAAGAATTTATGTGGTGGAACTACAGATATCTTTATTGTTTTTCTCCTTTTGTTGAAGACAGAAAAAAGCAGGAGACGGTCAGCTAGTCAAGCAGATGTCAGGAATGAGAACCTTGTAGACATGAAAGTGTTAACTGCTTTCCACCTGTGTGGTAAAACTCAGACGCCGTGGAAGATTACGAGGCAATACTCTGTTTGAACCAGTCAGACTGCTGAAGTTCAAGAGAAAAATGAACAAAATAACATCCCTGTGCAGTATGGAAAAGTACTAGACAAATGTATATCTTACAGTAGATGGACAAACAGAGCAAGTAAAGAGAGTTTGGAAAACGATTTACCTCTCCACATATTGCAGGTCCATCGATCTGAAGGTTGGAGCCTAACATCAGGGGCATCAATTCAAGAATCAATCTCTATCAATTCAACCATTCTTTTCATTCATCCGTGCCTTATTCCTCTGTCTGTCCATCAATCCATTCATTCATCCATCATTACACTCATTTAGGCCTCTCTTAATCTGTCCATTTATGTTTTTCAGTTCATGTTTCTCTCCCTCCTTCAGTTCACTGAATGATCAATCAGTTGGTCCATCCACATGTCTATCGCTCTAATACATAGATGTATTCCACCAGGAAGGCCAACTGTGTCCTAGGATCAACACTTTGACTCAGGGCAGGTGACAAAGGAAAGGGAACATTAATAAAAATAGTCAATAAGCTTTATCATCTTTCTTTTGCAGTTTTTTATTAGCAACGAATATTTGGTTGTTTTTAATGTAAAAACATACATGTTTTATTATAATACCATAGTCAGCTGCAGATTTCTGTTAATCTGGGTATTCTTCATTTTGTAACTGTACATCATTATTTTTTCAGTGCTACAAAATTGTAACCTGACTCCGCCAGATGGATTTGCTCCGCATATCCATCTGGAAACCTTCCGTTGAAGTAATTTTGGGAAGGGGCGAAAATACTGGTTAACTGATTGGCCCATGTTGGTGATAGACGGGCCAAATAAACCAATCAGATCAACGAAGCATATGACGTACTAACAGAGCGACGACGAAAACACAACCACAAGCCAGGCTACTCTTGCCGAAACCAGTCGGAAGAAGAGCAAAAACATCTTTTCCTCTGAGAAAAGCCTCCAGAGCAGTGTTTTGCTCTTCTTTCAGTGAAGAAATACTCTGTAATTCCGATAAAACTTGCTCGATAGCCACGCTAACGCTAGTTTCATCGGCTGAAGCCGCCATGTTCTTTAGACTGAACTGTCGCGCTTCTCGTTGCGTCACACCTCAACCCGCCTCAAAGCCAACGCTGATTGGACGTTCGTTTGGTGAACAGCTCCAAATGTTCTTTAACGGAGAGTCTCCAGACTGATCTGCGAGTGAAAGCTTGAAAGCTCGTGAGATCAGGATGGTCTCACGAGGCTAAGAAATTAGCTCCTACTCTTTACTTTCTCCTATTCATTATTTATTTTTTAGATTTAGCTGATTATTGGGTGACCTGCATTCTTCCATTCCCCTTTAACTTTGCAGATGGTACAGCCCCAAACAACAGGATATTTGTTCTCTCTTTAAGTTTTTTGTCCATCCATCCATCCGTCCGTCCGTCCGTCCGTCCGTCCGTCCATCCATCCATCCATCCATCCATTTTTTATCTGAAGTTCTTGTTTCTCAATCGTTTTTTATTTGTGCAGACCAATGACAGGAAAACACGTTTGTTTAGGGTGTTTCCACTAAAGTTGGTTCTGCTATCTGGTGATGTAAACCTTTTAACTATTAGTCCATGAAGGTTTTGCTTAAGTGCCACTTCCTCTTTTTGCCTCACAGTTCTTAAAGAACACCCCCTCCCTGTTTTTCTCCACAGAAACCAACATAAAACAGGTCAAACCCCAATTTCACTTTCTCATAAAAACTCCCACGTAAGAACAATTAACATGCAAGTCTTTCTCTTCTGACACAGTCTCAGGATTAATGGGATAACCACAGAGAAAAACTACTCATCATCTGAACACAAAATGATACAAGACTGAAATCTAATGAAGTCCTTTGCAGATTATCCTTTGATAGTCTATGACTCATTAATTGGTATCTTGACATTTAGATTGTTTTAACAATCCTTTCCAGGATAACAAAGACATAACAAATTAGCAATCATTATTTTCTTCCTCTAAAACAGCCTTTATATGGTGTCTTGCAAAACTATTACTGTATGTGTGGGTTGAAAACAAAACAATACACGGTTTTATTGTTGCATTTGATAAGTCTTAAAACAACTACTTTGTAGTTTCACTGCTTGTACATGTGCAAATGAGTCTGAGGTTAAGATTACATGCAAACTTTGACTAGGCCAGTTTAACTTTTGTTTATTAGGCCTTTGATTCTGGATCTAGTCTGGTTTTAGATGTAATTGTATATTGAAAGTCAACCTCTTGCTTCACAGTGGATGTCTAAAATGAAAAAGTGTTGCGCTCTATGGCTCTTTTCCCATTGTATGTCATGACACCAATCACTGTTTAGCATTTTGACTATCTCATCATGCAGCATTAACATCTGTTATATCTATTAAACATAAACCAGTAGAATCACACTGGATATTGTTGTTTACATAGCTGCATTTGATCGCTGTTGATCCCAGCACATCTGAGCAGCAGCAAACAGAGTTGGGGTAAAAAAAAAAAAACAGCTCAGTTAAGTTTACTGTGTCAGATAGTTGGGGCATGAGATACTGTTGTTTTCATTGGTGATGTATTGGTGATTGCATTCGAGTCAATGAGGCGATGCAGTCAACTGGTTTTCCTTAGATAAAAAACTTTGAATTAGTTTGACTGTATGATCTGGTGAACTGTAAAGTGCCTTGAGATGACGTGTTGTGAATTGGCGCTATAGAAATAAACTGAATTGAAATGAATTTAGTTTTAAGTAAAAAGAGAGGCATTTATTGATACCGAGTCCCAAAGATCACTTCATCAGTTATTTTAAACACAAATATGTGATCATGCACTCTTTTCCATAAAGAATCAAAGGTTTATCTCTGAAAACCCAATCCATCTTTCACTCCTAAGTAGAATGATTTTAACTTACATCAGGGGAAGCTGTGCTCATTTCGAGTTTGTCACTTTAAAAAATCCCTCTGTCTACTTCTAAATGCAATGATACCAATTTATGGCAGTCTCTATCACACTTTCTTTCAGGATTATTGTATATTTCTCCTGCTGAAATGGTTTTTTTTTTTTACAATCACAATCTATTTTGTTTTAATCTACAATCCTAATAAAATAACTTAAAATATGGAAGCACAGTGCTGTAGTTGGCACAGATTTGCATATTCACTTCATACAGATGCAACAACAGTTTGAGCAAAGTTTACATATATCAGCATACTCTGTGATGAGATTATTGTTGCATGTCTCTGTCTGGCTAATTAGCTGGATGAGGATTATCTTTTTCTCTCAGTCTAATGTTGCTGCATTTTCACCCAACATGCCAACAGGCTGTAAGTTCCTCCTAATCAGCTTCAGGTAAACATGAACTCAATACCTGGATGTGCCTTAAAATGTAAATACAGCTCAAACCTAAACCATTCAAACAAGGAACATTAAAAACACACCCTCATCTGCTGGTTGTCTGCACCACCTCATCAGTATAAAATATCGACAGTACTAACATTCGTGGTTCAACCAAGCTTGGGCTGAAAAATTTTGCTTTTTTTTCCTAAGGATATATGTATTTCTAGGTGTTCATCGCCTGGTGCCAAACTTGAATGTTATATTTTTGTTGTTGATGTTGTTTTTATCTGGCTTGAATTCGTTTTACAAGCATGAAGCAGCTCTAACAAGGAGCTGATTGTGTTAAGTTCTCTAAATAGGGAAGATTCTGATATAAATAGTTCAGTCGCAGGAGAATGTTCATTTTTAAAGTATTGATTCTCCCTAATAAAGAGGTTGGCAGGGGAGTCCATTTTATCAAATCATTTTTTATCTTCTGAATTAAAGGTGAGTAATTAGTTTCAAAAAGATTATTCAAATCAGGTGTAATAAAATACCCAGATACTTGAAGCCTCTCATAGAATCTGAAAAGGAGATTGCATGAATCTTTCTGGCGGGATGCTGAAAGGGGTGGCGACTGATTTTCCTAAATTGATTTTATATCCTGACAAAGCACTGAACATAGCCATAGATTCCAGAATAGCTGGAATTGATTTCTCAGGATTGCACATAAACAGAAGTACATCATCTGCAAATAATGAAATGACATGATTTCTACCGCTTATATTGATTCTAGATACATCCGGATTGGTCCTGATAATCTCGGCCAGAGGTTCAATAAACAATGTAAACAGTAAGGGTGAACGAGGGCACCCCTGCTTACAACCAGTATGAATCTTGAAAGGCTCAGATATCAAGCCATTTGTGTTAACTGAGGCTGTTGGGTCTGTGTAAAAGCTTTTACCCAGATTGATGAAATTCGGGCCTAGTCCAAATTTATGCAGCACCTGAAAGAGAAACTGCCATTCAACTTGGTCAAAGGCCTTCTCGGCATCGAGGGAAACAATAACTGCTGGCTCTTTGTGAGTATTAAGGTACTGAACAACCTTTTATCCGTGCCAAATCTCATTTTTATAAACCCCGCTTGATTTATTATTTTAGGAAGGATGTTTTCCAATCTCTGGGCCAATACTTTTGCAACAATTTTATAATCAACATTAAGCAAGCTAATAGGTCTAAAGGAGGAACAATCCAGGGGGCTTTTACCCTCTTTTAAAAGAAGACTGTTGGAGACGTGTCTCTAAGAGGGGGGGGTGCCATTACTCAAAATGTCATCAACAGCGAGCATAAATATTGGTTGAATCTCTGGCCAAAATATTTTAAAGAATGCCAATGGAAACCCATCAGGTCCAGGACATTTTCTGTTTGGCATAGATTTAATTGCAGCCCAAACTTCCTCCAGAGTGATAGCGGCATCTAAGAAAGCACAATCCTCTTCCACGACAGAAGGTAGAGATATACTGCTCAGATAGGCAGAGATATCCTCCGTGTCAGTCGCATCCGTATTGTATAGAGATATATAAAAATCCCGGAAAGTACTGTTTATTATTATTGGGTCATATGTCACACCATTGTTCTGCGTATTTATCATATTAATTAAGCAAATATTATTTAGATTTTTCAATAAATAGGAAAGCATGCGACTGGACCAAATTTATAATGTTTCTGTTTAGTATAAAGTAGCATTTTCTGAACATTTTAACAGTTTCAACCTTTTGCCACATTTAAGGGTTCAAACATACAGAGTAAAGATATAAAATCGTTATTTCCTTTGAAGAGTCAAGGAGTAGGACACAATCATTAAGTTGAATAATTTTTTTTAATATTTTAGTCTTTTTTTAACAAATAAATAACTTGTGGGGTAGGCAAAATTATTCAGCCAAACTTGAGACGTTGCCCGAAGACACCGTTGATAGAATTTGTATTAAGAGGTCTAGCGGAGCATTCAGATGGTACTTTACAAATCTAAGCTCTACTAGCAAACTTTGTGTTGCTTTTTAGAAAAATATTTTCTCCTTAAAAATCAATTTATTTTCAAACAGCTTCAGAGTTCCTCTCAGATTGCTAAGTCATCCAACCATTTAAAAATGTGCATTCTGTTATCCAGTCTGAGAATACCAAGCTAAATTTCAGCTGGTTTTGTAAGTTATAATCATTTATAATAATTTCCACACATATATTTGTATAGGACCCATTCCAAACAAATATGCATGGAAATAGCCCATTACAGAAGCCTTCCGTTCTTTTGATGTACAGCCTGATGATCAACAGCTGCAACACAGCAAAACGGAGCGTTAACTTTTCAGAACTTTACAGTTTACTGGATAAGACTTAACTTATGATGTTCTAAGATATCTAAACATAGAAAGTAAGCCTTTTCATAACTGTTGGAAGCTTTTTCTGTTAAAATCCCCAAAGGCAGGACAAGAAGCTGGTATTTTTCTACTATCCTGAACCCCGCTGCAATTCCCTTAAGGCAGAAACAAATCTGCTGCTGCAGTAGGAGGGATCTGACTGTCATTGGTAGCTGGAAGCATTGCAGAAGCAGAGTGGGCTTTCACATCATTTTTTGTTTGTTTTTCAGATAGCGTGTGTTTTGCTTTAAATACTGAGTGAGTCTCTGACCCCCAAAACCCATATGTGCATTTTCAGATATAACTAAACACCAATTGTTGATGCTGAATGTTTTGACTTGATTTTTTTCAAGCCTGAGAATAATTTTTGCATCAGGATTAAAGGGTTTTTCTGCTGCATCGGTCTGCAGGTTATTTTACTAAATTGGAAACCCAAACAATAGCAAATATCTTAGACATTGCAGGCATAAACCTTTCCATCACTGTAATTAAAAGCCTATGGATAGGATTGCTGCCAGTATCAGTTTAGTAAGGATGGTTCTCATGCATCCATCAACTTGGCAGATTCTGCGGCTTTAGGTTCAGTGATAACCAGCGTTCATATTTTATTCCAAGCATTACTCACCTATCCTTCTCTGCATCCAACATTTTCTTTTACCCCTGTTAATGCTTGATCCTGGACTTTACCTTTATCTTTTTTTTTTTCTTAACCTCTGCAGGGAATGCTACCTGCTTGTCTCCATTGCTTTTTCCATAGGTACACAAACTCTATTTAAGGTTTAGCGACATTGGCAAGACGAAGAAGACATTTTACTCCTACTTTACTAATAAATACAGATGAGAAAAGTGTAAAAAAGGATGGAAATAAAGTTACATAAAATAAGCCACCAGGGCTCATTAATTTAAAAAGACCTTTTTTACGCAACCTGATGCTGGCAAAGAAATTCAGAAATGAATTACTAGCATGTCACTGGGTCCCTTAATGTACATAGTAACTTTAATAACTTGCTCATTGAAATTGAAATGTAGCACTAAGTGTTGGATTTTTTTATTTTATAATCTCCAAACTAATGAGGAATATCGTCTCCCTGCCTGATTGCAACAAGAAAAACAAAAAGATAAAAAACGTTTTTAAAAAACATTTTATAAATAAAGGGCTAAGAACAAGACTGTACCTCCTGCAATATGCTAGTTGCCATAGTTACGCATATCTTTGTATTTCCATCATGTCTGCTCATCAGTTAAAACGTTTAGCTGTTTCAATCAAAAACCTGATGAATCCTGACAGCAGCTTTTTGTCAGACGGGCTGACATCATTATAGTACCGTACTTCCTAACAGACAAAGCCAGTGTAACCTGTCCCTCAACTGGTGTAATGGAATATTGCCAATTCATTCATTTTTCCATGGGAATTTCATTACTTTATACCAGTCAAATGACATTACCAATGCTAATTCAATCTTTAGATAGTAAGACAATTTGTCATTGTCTTTATCAGTCCTGTTTGAGCTGGATCTGCCATCTTGTTTCTGTGGGTTTAAGATCAATGATATTATTACTGTTCCTATTGCATTTCAAATATTTGCAGCTAAAAGCGGAATAAAAAAACCCAACAACAAATAAATTAGAAGGTTGCTGTGGAAAGTTGTGCTTGAATGACTCCTGAAGACTCTCAGGGCTTTTTCTTTTAACAAGTGGGATTACTGAGAGCAAAGAAAGTACTTGGCTGTAATTGGAAGGAGATGGATGGATGCAAGAAGAAAACACAGGAGTTCCTGATGATCTAGAGCAGTGAACAAACAGATGCATCTTTTGTCTTTCCTTCCGTCTCCTCCTTCATGAAACAATCCATCTTCTCTAACACAGGTCTTTATTCCTGATCTTCCCCTTCATCACTCCTGTTTCCTTCTATATCCCCCAATTTGTTCCCTTTTTTTTCTTCTTCAGTTTCAGATTTATTTCCTTATCCTGGTCTGTTTTTATCCACAGGCCTGGCTGACAGAAATTCATGAGTACGCCCAGCAGAACGTGGTCGTCATGCTGCTGGGCAACAAGGTGAGGCCTTGTTGGCAACACTAGGACATAGATGGGCAGATGGCCTCAGAGGGTGGTAAGAAGGCGTAGTAAGATCAGGATGACAGAACCGAGGAACTAGTAAAAAAAAAGGGTAACTTAGAGCAATATGGTATTTAGATGCATTTAAACATAGAAAATACACAAATGGCATATAGACTATTTTAATACAATAGTTGTGCAGATTTGCCAGAGCATCTGCTCCCGTCTGCTTCTTATTTAGCAATAAAATGATTTTTGCTACAGTGCTAAATCAATGAAAAGGAAACATGGGAAGGTCATTTTTCCATTAAGCTAGGCTTATAAGCAACCAAGTGACAAATATTGATTTAGGGATTATTAGTTTTAATTGTAGGTTTGAAAGATGATTTTTTTTAAGGGACCTTCTCACTTTAGTCACTTTCTATTGCACAATGTGTTTGTGCATAAGCTTTCATTTCCAGGCTGATGTTATACTTATGTTAGTTATGTTCACAAACTGTAGAGGATTTAAAATGCTTTGATTTAAGGTGCCTCATCACTGATCCCAGATCATTTTACTGAGGTGGGAAAGTTAAATTCCCACTTCATTTAACAAATACAGTTCAACAAAAATGGTTTTTAACTCATGAAAGTTATCACTCAGGCTCTGAAAATATAAACAGCATTACATAAAATTATTACTAACATTTATATGGAAGTATCTCTGCCTACTGAACAGTATGTCCTTGTTTTTAATGTGTATGAGCACAAAGTAGTGAGTCTGGGCTCCTGTACCTGTAGGAAGCCCAGGAAACCCTCACCTCATCTGGGGAACCACTCATACTATAAACATTAAAGCAAGTCAAACTGGACTTGTGGAAAACTGGCTATGTGCCTTTAAAGTATAAAAATTAGGGATTTAGATTTTCAAATGAAATTGATCATTTTTATATTAAAGCTGCGCTTTGAACAACAGGAAGTACTATAGTTTTTTTCTTTAGCACAGATAGGATTCTTTTTAATGGTTCTTTTCAAAATTGGCCTAACTAAATCCGTTTCCATGGTACATCTGTAGCTGATGGTTCTGGAGGCTCTGACCCAAACGCTTTGCTTTGTTTCTTACTGTAATCCTTTGAAGGGCAAGATAATTTATTTTACTAGTGCATCTTTTTAACCACAGTTTTTCCTTCCACTAAACCTTCCAGTAAAGTTTCTCCAATCATTCAGCACCTACCTTCTTTAGCAATGATCTGCTTTGGTTTAGAAATTGAAACTGAATGTTAGATTTTAGAAAAAGCCAAAATCACCTGAACAAAAACAAAATGTTTATTATTAAACACTTCAAGTTTAACTTTTTCAGATGAACCAAGTAATAAAGTTTCGGATTAAATATGATTAAACTAAGATCCATAAGTATAGATGCATTATGTACACAAAAGATATGTTGCTATTTTCTTGTTCAAATAAGTAAGTCATGCTCTTACAAAAAAGTGAAATAGGTTTTGCATGTGATGCACACAGAAAAATAAACATGTCCAAATGTTGTCAAGCAACCATTTCAATGCCAGCATGTTGTCACTGTGTTCCAGGCTGATTCCACTCATGACAGGGTGGTGAAACGAGAGGAAGGCGAGAAGCTGGCCAAGGTGAGCTTCCTAAAATACCCAGCTCTACATTTATAGCCAGAGGTTATGCTGCACTTAATCTGGCCCAAAACCAGACCTCCCCATGTGTCTGTGTTGTAATTATTCAGTTAAATGATACATTTCGTAGCACTGAATAATATCATTATAAATGGAGGCGCCTTGCTAAATGAATTATCCAGGCAGTTTCACTCCAATAATCTCTGACAATAGACCTGAATTCATCAGGAAGAGTTCAGCGAGACACTGCAGCTGTCAGGATGACGTTCTCAGCTGTTTGACTTCCACAAAATTAGATTTCTCTTCCTTGGAGCATTTCTCATTGATTATACTCACCTTTGTTTGAAAATTAAAAAAAATAACAATAGAGAGAATCAGTCTTAAAGGCAATAAATACGAAATAAAATAATAAAATAAATACAAAAAAGAATTAAGCTTTTCGGGTCCTTTATAAGCATGATAAATTCACCTGACAATAGCAGATTTTTTTTTTTTTCTTTCTGTGCAGGAGTTTGGAGTACCCTTCATGGAGACGAGTGCTAAATCTGGGCTGAATGTGGAGCTGGCTTTCACTGCAGTGGCCAAGTGAGTCACACTAATATAAAAACACAGCATGAATAGTACAAAGTGAAATGGCTTTCTGGGTTTGAGATAAAAAAAAAAAAAAAAGATTGTTACTGTTTCCTTCTTGTTGTTATACACAAATTCATTCCAGTTCACCTGCCCGTGATGCGAAATAAGACCATGCAAATTGAAGGGAAGAAATCATCCTGCTGTTTCTACATAGCTCTGAAAAATAAAAGGTCCTGCAGTTCATAGCTTCGTCATAGTAGTGACTGCATCACCACCACAGGGGCAGCTTGAGTGTTGCTATGACCTTGACAGTATATAAAGCCACATTTGGACTTAGCCTATAATGATGACAATAAAACTGGACCTGAGGTATAACCATCATCCTCCAATATTTAATATGCATGGACAATTTTCCCCAAAAAGTACTGAAAGTATTTGGACTAAACTTGCAACATACATACTTGTTCTTCCAGCATGCACAGTGCAGCCAGCAAATATTAGCAAACTGGTAAAGATTTTTCAAAGCCTTTATTTTATAGGGTTTTTTGTAATAGCGTATCTGAAAGAAACATTATTAATTAAAAACATTATTGCTTTAATAGCTCTACATTTTTTATGTTGGGTGTAGAAAGCTCCACAATTGGGAAATTGACACTGTCATGTTGTTATGGATATTTGGGGAAACCAAAGAGACTTTTTTAGATGTTATTTAATTAATGCTTTATCTAAAAACCACAAGGTTACAAATTCCTTTTACAGACTTAAGTCATCTTCAAATTCCTTAAATAAAGTCCTATGAGCCAAATAGTAGTAATTAATCAATAAGATAATCAAGTTTTTTTTATCTGTTGATAGACACCCAATTATCCATATCTGCAGCTTAAACTTGCAAAGAAATATTATATCGCACCTATAAAAGAGACTAATTAAGCACAATTTATGTAAATATATGAAAATGTCTTTGTGTGTAAAGTAAAGAAGATACAATTTTAGCTGTTTTTTTTCTAAATGTATGATGCCAAGCAGTTTGTGTAGAAGCCGGTCCTTTTTTAGCCTCGTTATGGTAACAGGCTGGCATGCTTGGATGTTGCCCATGATAGAATCGCTGTCTAGAGCAAAATCTTTCTACAAATACAGAAAATCTGATCTTTTCATTTAGCTCATGTTTGCTTTCATACTTCATTTGCATCCTTCAGTCTCAGTCCTAGTTCACTCAAAATTCTGGCTTCATCATTTCATCCCTTACATAATTTGCAAAGGATGAAATTATGACCAAAACAGAAAGTAAGTTACCCAGTTTTAATCATGTCTTTAGCTAATGTACTGTTTAAATATGAAAGCAGTGATTATTATTTTTTTCTTGGGGAAAAACATCCTGCCCTCCTTTTAGAATATTAGATTATAAACTCATCAAGCTTCTGTTTTCTAAGTAATAATGAGCCAATTTACACAATCAGCGTGGATGGATTCCTGGCATGCTCTGCCAGGTACAAACCCAGGGGCCCAAAGGTTCAGGAGGGGGTGGGCTACCAGGGCCATTAGTTTGAAATTATTACATATTTTATAAGAGGTCAATAAAAGAAAGCGTGGAGGCTCCTAATGAGATACAAAACTACCATAAAGAAGCTCAATGGCAATAAAGACATGCAAACAGAGGAGAGAGTACTTTGCACTTTAGTAATAAAATGAAACTTTTCCATGAATTTTCCATCTTGGTCAGAGAGCTTGATTTTTTTCTCCTTATCTGATCACCTTCCACATGTTTGCTATGGCCTCTATATGACTTGTGGTAAACGGTAAACTCATTTGGAGATTGCCGTCTACCCACCCTGCTTTAACCAGGGTGGTTAAAGCAGGGTGGAATTTCATCCCACCTTGCTTTAACTATGCCTTTCTGATCATCCCTCCTCCGACAGGCCAGCCTGCTTAGGAACAAAACAACTGGATTTTGCAGCTCCTCCAGAAAAACTCTAGACCTCCTGGCTGCTTATCTGCCTGATGCTGTCTTTGCTGGCCTCTCCATGTATAGAGGAACTGCCATATCATGGGGCTTTTGCAATTGTGCCATAATCTCCCATTTTTGGATGAGGGATTGAACATAGTTCCACAGCTGGTCTTAACAAGGTTGTTTAATAATTTTATACAGGTGAAAACATTTTTTGGAGACTTCTAGAGACTCTTGGCTGCATTGGTTGTTATACTGGAGAGTCAGTGAAAATGGGGCTAATTACCAATGTGTGCCACCCATTTTTTTGTTTAATAGAAAATTGTAAGGGGCACGGTTCTCTAATCTTTGAAAAGTATAAATGATTGTAATACATGAAGCATTTTTTGATGGTTTTTTTGAAGGCTGACCTTTGTTTATGATTACCAGAGAGCTGAAGCACCGGACCATGAAGGAACCCGACGAGCCGAAGTTTCAGCTACAGGAATATGTGGACAAAGAAATGAGGGTCGCCAGCTGCTGCCGCTCTTAAACCACATCCATGGGTTAACCAAGTTTCTACTGAAGGCAAAGAAACGAAACAGGGATACTATCATCATTATTATTAATATTTAACTACACAATAAGCTAGAGTGTGTGTGTGCCTGGGAATGACCCTGAAACTCTCCGTCTCAGTGATTATAAGGCCAATCTGGTCTCCCATAACCCACCATCTACTGCAACTGTGAATGTATAATATCTTCTGTTCACATGCATGTCCACAAACACATTATGCTCTGTTCACTGCCTGCAGGATCCATATTGTCCAGTTTTTTCTTATTGATGTAAATATTTTAAAGAGGATTTAGATTTGTCTTTTGGAAGCTGTGTGGTTTGTTAAAGCATTACAACAGAACTAGATGTTAATAATGGTGTACAGATTATCAAACCAACCTTAGGAAAGCAAAAGAACGAGCTAATCTTATCAAACTCTTAAGGTTTTTTAAAATACTGTGTCCTCCTGTTGTACAGTCTGTAACCATTTTATTCAAAGTGAAACTTAATCTGAGCATTTGTCCTTATGTTTGCTCCATTTTAACATGTGATAAGATCTGGGCACTCAAAGCTTTCAATTTTTCTGCTATTTTGACACAATATGAAATGTAAAGGACTGTACTTTGCACTTTATCATAAAAACACAAAGGAAATGGTGTTTTTTCCTGAGATGATGTCTAATTTATTTATGATGATTAAATTAGCTATCAGTGTTTTTTATTGTTATAAAATATTCCTCTGAAAGTAAATAAAATGGGTATTCCATGTAAAGCTTCATTAATAAAAAAAAAATCTCATCTAAAGGCCTTTGAATAGCCTTTTGTTAAAAGTACTTTTCTCTCAGCACATTGTCTGATCGGCATTACTTGATATCACATTACGTGTTTTAGACTAGGATTATGTCAGCATCAGATTTAGAAATATATATATATATATATATATATATATATATATATA